AGCAACCTTAAAACCAGGCTGGAATATGGGATATAGAATGCTGTTGATGTTATCATTGTGTGATAGCCAATTATGTCTGAATGTAACCAGTATTTTTCTAATGTGGTATTAGGAAAATCTAAGGCACATCCTTGTGAAAGGTCAGATTCAAAATCATTTCATTGATTCCAATTAACGATTTTTGTAGTTATTCTTTTATCTTGTGGTGAGAGAGGTAGATAATGTGCTTAGGGAAATTCCCCTCATGATTCCAAGGGGAGAATCATAGAATGTTGGACGAGAATTTAAAGGAGAGAGTATGGTATTATTGCAAGGCCCACTCAACTCTAAGGATAGTTTAGTTCTCCTCTTACTCGATGCAAAATCTTGGTCTCTTTTCATAATTTCTTAAAATATTGAAATAAAATCTAGAGTAGTGTACTTGGATGAAAGGGGTACATTCTTAGAACACAATCATATATTTTAATGCCATATTCTTATATTATCTTTGGGAGGTTCTGCAGTATTAACTACTTAATGATTCCACTCTTTTTGCCAAGATCTATTAAAGTCCTCAAAATAATTTTAAAATTCCCATTAAAAAATTTTTTTGAAGAAAAACATTAAATATCCAACAAAATTTTATTTTGGTGCTGGCTAATGGCACCATCAAGAACAGCAATTGATAATGCATTAACAGAACTTTGAAGTCCTTGTCTCTTATGTTTCTAGTTCACTCTGCATAGATATAATATCATATTATAGAGTGGTAGAGAAATATATTCGATTTTTAGAAACATCAAAATGATGAGATAATTTATTGCAAATTTTTTTGGTAATATCGAGGCATGAATTTCATAATCCTTCTCTAAGTAAAATAAATTATTTAACCATAAAAATCATAACATAGAATCATAAGTTATGTGATTAGGTGATCAAGTTATCTACACTCTTTTAGTCACAATTGTTGAGGCACAATATATAAATACAATGATCTTGCCACCATAACACTTTTTCCTGGGTGTAATGTTTGCTGGTGGATCACTTACAGAGGTTTTACAAAATATAATGATTCTTGTTAACCGCCTTAAGTAACTTAATATTCTAAATAGCTTTTTGGAGATATATATATATTTTTTTGGTATGGACCATCCGGTATCCAGAATTTCATTGGGCCACCGATTAATCCGGATTCGAGGCGGACAAAACACAATGGGCGGCAAAGCTCTTCCTCATGAATTTTAACGGAACCGCATTCCCAGAATTTAAAACCAAGATTTCTAGTTAAGTTGAAAGAGTCCCGTACCAATTCATCCACCCGTTCATAGGTAGCTTTTTGGAGATAATGAAGACTAAAACACATGCCAAAAGAAAGGAGACTATGATACCATCACTAAAATAATTATAGGAAAAAGCACACAACCCAAAGTTAGACATTAGTATAGATCTCATATAGGTGTTTATAATTCTTTAAAGAAAGGAAAATTTTGATGATGGGCAACTTAGTACCCTAGCACCACCCATATACTACAAAAGTTATTAAAGATAAAAGATTGGGGGAAAAGAGAAGAAGAATGTGCTCCACTTAACAAAATGAAAAGGCAGCCTAAGCAGGACCCTCTCCAATGTGGCTAAAGCTATTTCTAAAAATGAATATTTTTTGAGTTTCATATATATTAGCTTTTTCATTTTTTTATAAAAGAAGTATTTTAGAACTATAACAACCCAATTTATTATTGATAATAATTTGATTTGGCTCATCAAACCTCATAATTTTTAAACATATTAATAAAAATTAATAGATGTTGATTTATTTACTTAACATCTCTTTTGTTTTTTATTGATGTAAAATTTACTTAAAAATGTTATAAGAGCAAAACAGAAAGGTTTGTGATGGTTCACCAAGCATTTGTTTCATGTACTTATGTTGATGTGAAGATTCAAGTTACGTCCTCTTAGGTTATTGTCTAACACGAAGTTAGTTTCACGTTATGAGCATTGAGAAAGGACCGAATATTTGGAAGACAAAATTTATATCTATGCATCAAGTTCAGTAGTCAAAATGGTACAAAAAAGAGAATATGATGAACAATATGTGAGAGGATGCCAATTGACAATTATTTTCAAATTGAAACACTTTTAAATATTCTTTCATCAATCCAATAAGAGGAACCTCAATCAAATTGATCATATACAGTAATTTGATTGCATAATTGCCCATCAGATGATAATTTCCAATCCGATGTGATTTCCCAACATTGAGTTTGCAAATTTCTATCGTGCCTTTATACCAAATATCTAAGAAAATGTTCGGTACTAAAGTACTACTACCTACTTAAGTGGTTTCTCCTGTTTGTGAAGCTAAGAATTGTCATAGCCATGGCAATGGATGTCAGTTCTAGAAGAATGAACATGTCTGAACCGAATTAATTCCAAATTTCTCTCTTTTGTTCTATATATACTTGCTTTTTCCCGGGGAATTATTCCACCAGGATCAATCCAACTCTATCTCGAGAAGTTTCATCTATACTAATCTTTCTTGAGATTTAGTAAAAATAAGAATACAACTTTTAAAAAAAAAATTAATTGAGGGTACAGATTATTTTTATAATTAATTAAGATTATCATATTTTAAAATTTTCAAATTAAAGATATGACTTTTATAATTTTATTAACAAAGAATTAAGCAATGTGCATGCTAACATGATTAATGAATTCTGTTTAATCCTTAATTTACGTGCCTTTATTTTCTTTTCTAAATGGTAGTGGCTATGTTAGCATACACATCTACTTAATTCTTCATTAATAAAATTGTAAAGATCGCATTTTTCAGTAGAAACTTTTGAAAGTGGTAATTTTGATTAGTTACGAAATAATATTATACCTTCAATCAAAAAATTTTTAAAAGATTGTATCCTTATTTTTACCAAATCTCAATCTTTCTCCTTTTTTTCTTTTTCTTTTTTTTTTTGAATGAAAAAAAGTGGTGTTTAGATACAAGAATTGAAAATTTGGAATCATTAATTAGAATCAAAGTTTTGAAATTAGTAAATGTAAACTCCACTAGCTATTGATCTCCATATTCAACTTAATGGCTAACACCATTAATTAGCGAAAATCACTTCCCGTAAGTTACGTCTTTAAACTCCATAAAATCTCCCTCTCCCCATCCCCATATAATTAAAATATGTACTACTTGTCCTCTTTCAAAAAAAGAAAAAAAAAAACCTCGGCCAGCTACTTGGATGTACTGCTCTGAACATTTCTATGCAGTTGTTTCTTTTACTTAAACAAAGAAATCAACTTACATCTATATGTAATGCAGTTTTATGAAATTAACTACTCCATAACTGTTTTGGTGCAATTATTCATCTGAAAATTTTCAAGTTATTGGACCAGAATGGTTCTCTTGTCCTGTATGTACATTATTTTAGTGGGTTATCATTTTGGGTGGGCTTGAAACAGCACAATCAAATAAAAGTAATTAGGGGTGAGCATTGGCTAGGTATATCCGCTTAGTTATAAGTACCTTGTTTATTGAACAGATTACGATTGGAGGAAGGGGGATTCGAATGCCAACTCTAGGGTTGAAGAGTGTACTTTACAAAAAAAAAAAAACATATAATTATTGAGCTACAAAACCTAGGTGCACCTTATAAATAAAGATAAGTATCATACGTGAGACGTAAAAAAACACGGGTAATGGGTATTAAGTTTTTGTAAAACTGTTGTTAATTGGGTTTTTGTATTATTATTATGGGCTCAGCTCCGAACTTTCATTCCGAAGTAAAAGACTGAAATTTCGTTACAGCCCAATTTCCTTAAACTTCCATTGGGCTGAGAGAGATCCGTATAGGCCTGCAAGGTATACGCAGTACGCTGCAGTACAGTACCTTCATGTTTTTGCCTTATCTTTATGGTGTTGTTATTTGGAAAATCCTTAATCAGCTCATAGACTTTTATATTTTAGTCAATTAAGTCCTTCCAGATTCGAGAATAAGCAAAAATAAACTCTGACTTCACAATTTCATCCACTAAGGCAAAATTGGACTTGCCCTCTCCATCCATCTTTGCCAAATTTTTTTCAACATAAGGCAATCTACACAATTTCGTTACCCACATGGAATATATAAATATTTTTTTATGAAAAATATGATAAAAGAAAAATAAAAATCAAGACATTTTGATATTGAAAATATAAAAAAACTTAGTCATAATTATTAAATGTGTAAAAATAATGTAAGTCATAATTTTATCAAATTTATCGTATGATTATTATTAGACTTCTTATTATTTTTAATACTAAAACATCTTGATTTTTCATTTTCTAAATATGAAAAATGTTTTTTCTTATTAGCTTTCTCACAAATGATTATAGATTAATTAATTTAAAAGTCTTATTACTCTTTACTAGTAAAGTATTAGCCAATATTTATGAAAAAATTCATATATTTATAGATTATTTGTCTAAATCTGTATATGTTATATGTAAAAATCAAGATTCATTCAAAATGTTAGTACTTTTTTTTTAAAATAGAGAGTAGAGGACAAATATAGTATACAATTTATAAATAGTAAAAAATTTTCGACATAAATGCAATACAAAATTTTAAAAATATATTTAAAAAAATCTTATCATCTATAAGAATCAAACTCCAAACCTCAAAGTTATAGGACTTAAGTCTTTACCGATCGAGAAAAAGACATCACTGGCAAAAAAATTGGTATTTATTTGGTACCACCATGAAAATTTGATCAATTATGGAAAAGAGAAGAGGAGGGGAAGAAAAATGAGAGAAAAATAAAAGAAGGAACTAATCAGAAATATGATAAAATTGAAGGACCAAACAAGAAATACGGTAAGACTTGTAGATAGGAGCGACCAATCAGAAGCTTGACAGCCGTACGCCGTATCTGTTGACCGGAGATACCGGTGTAACGGAAATTCACCACCCTGTTCCTGTTTGGAAGAAAAGAAAAGAAAAGAAAAGAAAGGAAAAGAAATAGAAAGTACTAGGTGAAAAAAAAAAAAAGAAGGACCCCAAGGCTTCGGTCGTCCGGGAAAATGTTAAACGCCTCGTTAAGACCAGGATTCAAAATTCGTCAAGAATCTCAACGGGGTGTTTAGATTTTCGTCATTTCTTATTTTCTTAGGCTAGGGATTTTAGATTTAGAGATTAGAGTTTCATCAATTAGATTAGGGTAAGAGTTAGCATCATTTGATCGGATAAATCTATCGAGATCTTCTTTGCTGTTGGATTTCAATGGCTGGTTTGATTAATAAGCTGAGGAGTTTGGATGCTTACCCGAAAATCAATGAAGATTTCTACCGTCGGACGATCTCCGGTGGGGTTATCACTCTCGTCTCCTCCGTTGTCATGCTATTGCTCTTCTTCTCCGAGCTCCGTAAGTGTTTATCTCTCCTCCAATCTCTATCTGTTAAAATCCGTATCTATAATGATTTGTTTACAAGTTGGATCTGAAATTAATCTGTTGTATTCTGTTTACTTTAGTTTTTGTCGTGGTAATGGTCTCCCCAAGTCAGGCTTTCTGAATTTCTCTTGGGTATTTTCCGGGGTTTTATTATTTGTTAACGGAAATTGAAGTGCTTTATTTGGGGAGTTAGTGCCTGTGGGTTTAGAAAGTGAAGGGCTAGAAAGAAGCTGTTTTTGGGTGCAGTTTAGGTTAAGAATTTATGGGTCTATTTATTTTATCTCAGGCTTGAAAGCTTTAATCCTTATGTTTCTTGCCTTGGGATTTTTCAAAGTGAAAATCAACTCGAGGCAAGTATTTATAAATGTTTGATAGTGATGCACCCAAAAATGATATTAGAGTAGGTGGACCTTCCCGAGCTATTGATCTAATGCAAGGATTAAGTTGGGAATGCTGTATGGTGTATACCATCATGGCAGGAACCTGATCAAATTCTGGAAGTTATGGGAATCATGCTTCATGGCTGGTTTTTGATTTAATGGCAATGATTCATAGTTTATTATCATAATGAGCTAATTGAATCATTGAAAAACAAGCTTAGTTTTTGTCTTTTCATTATTCCAACTTTTTCAGCATAGGTTTGCTACTGTCTCAAACCCTTGCATCAAGTTGAATGCATGCCAAGAACTGCATGATTTCAAGTTGATTCTCTTGAAAGAACTTATCTCCTTTTCTCATTCTACATGTTAATAATTACGGAATTGTTTCCATCAACTTCTACATTTCCTTTTGCTTTCAGGATTATATCTTCATCCTGTGACTGAAACAAAGCTCGTGGTCGACACTTCAAGAGGAGAAACTCTACGTATCAATGTAATACAATTTTCTATTCCAACCTTCATTTGAAGATCCCCTGTAATCTCATAATTTTTTCGTTGTTCCAGATTGAGATTTTGGATATCATAGACAATCAGATTTTACAATGCTTTATTATGCATGGTTCTTTAGTGAATCATTTTAGTGATCCACTTAAATAATCTATACCTTTGTATTGAAAATGCAGTTTGACATCACATTTCCAGCCCTTGCATGTTCAATCCTAAGTCTTGATGCCATGGACATAAGTGGAGAAGAGCACCTTGATGTGGTATCTCTCTCTCTCTCTCACCCACTCACTCACTCACTCACTCACACACACACAGTATTAAGCACATATAGGTGCATTCCAAGCAGCATACACTCAAACATGGACATTCACATGCACATATATGCATATGCACGTACTCGCATGCATACTGACACGTATGCACATAGAGAAACATGCAGGTGCAGCTGGGTTATGAAAAAGTTACCTATCTTTATATTCTGCATTGCACTTACAACCTTTACTTGAAAGTCAGAGTACTATCTGTCTATTTATGTTATATGTGATTTGCAGAAACATGATATCTTTAAAAAAAGATTGGATTCACATGGGAATGTAATAGAAGCGAGGCAAGATGGTATTGGCGCTCCTAAGGTGAGCAATATGTTTCTCATATTTGATAAATTTTATTTTATTGTACCTGCTCATATTTTGTTCCAAGTCTACGTTAGATAATCTTATCTTTAAAGAATGTTTTGACTTACAAGTTGCTAAGAAATTTACACTTAAATATAGAGAATAAGCTTGTCAAGAAACATGAAAAATAAAATCAGGTAGGTGTATCTAGACATGACAAATAAATTTTGGAAAATATCTTTAACATTGGTGCCATTATATCTTTATTGGAAATAAGTTATTCTGTAAAAAGTTGAGGACTTGCCATGATACATGCTAAATCACTCCTAGTCTATTTTTTTTATAAAGAGCAAGATGGTAGGTAAATTGCCCTGAGAATCTCATGATGCAGCATAGAATTAGGCCATACATCACTTGCTAAGATGCAAATAGGCACTTGAGAAATTTCAGTGAATTGTATTATAAAACATACTTGTTTAAAAGTATTGAGATGGTTAGTGTGGTTTAGAAGAGACATTTCAGCTTAGGCAGTCTATTTCTTACTAAATGATAATGGTAGAATTTCCTTAAAGGTATTACTCATGTTTATTAGAATTGTCAAACACGTACCTTTGCTGCTGAGAATTTTGCATCTGTTCTTGCCCAGTTGCCTTCGCTCTACTATTACTCTAAGATGTGTTGATGAAGGGTTTAAAGAACTGTTTGTTCAGGAGTTCAGCATTTTTTAATCTTTCCGCTTCCATTTTCCTTATTCTTATTTCTTTTCACACAGATTGAAAAACCTTTACAAAAGCATGGTGGCAGGCTTGAGCACAATGAAACATATTGTGGTTCATGTTTTGGTGCAGAATCGGTAAGCTTTCTCTTATCGATTTTCATTCTCTGTGTTTGCATGATATGTCAAACCTATTAGATATACTTTTATAGTTCTATATAGATTATGCAGGAGGGTAGTATGCTGAATTTTGTGTTAATTCTGTTATAATTAGATATCCAACATGGTCAATGCCCCTCACATTATTCCTGCAGCATATTCTTGATTTAATTTTCTGTAGGTTAAATTTGGAGCTGCTTCAAATTCCTTCCAGCCATGGCCCATCAAAATCAAATCAACTAACTATGCATGTGAAGTGAATGTTTGAAGTACATTTTCTTTTCATAATTCTCCTGCTGATCAGCACTGAGTCTCTCTCAATTGAGCTGGTTTTGTAGTGTCCTGTACTTTTAGAGGCTGTAGATGCAATCTGCACTAGTTTTGTGTGTGTGTGTGTGTGTGTGATGTGTGCATTCCCATTAATTAGGAGTATATTTTGTTCTGTATCTGTGTCCTAACTTTTTTGCTTTTAATGTTGTAGGGAGATGATGATTGTTGTAATTCCTGTGAGGAAGTTCGTGAAGCATATCGAAAGAAAGGTTGGGCATTGTCAAATCCTGACTTGATTGACCAGGTCTGTCTGCCTAAGTTATGTTCAATCTGATTTTAGATGCTACTAGCACTGTTTTAGCTTATTGTATTGCTATGTTCTATTTTCTTTTTGTGACTAATTCTATGATGTTGGCTTCTGGCCCCTCATAATGATGCTTCTTTTTTCCCTTTATCTGGCTGGTCTTGAGCTCTTGTGGAATGTATGAATTATATATGGAAGTCATTTTTCTGTTGTTTTTGTTGTCCAGTGCAAAAGGGAGGGTTTTCTTCAGAAAATCAAGGATGAAGAAGGTGAAGGATGCAATATATTTGGATTCTTAGAAGTTAATAAGGTTGCAGGAAATTTCCATTTTGCTCCTGGGAAAAGCTTTCACCAATCAAATGTTCATGTGCACGACCTGCTGGCTTTTCAAAAGGACAGTTTTAATGTATGATATGATCCTCTTATTGGCTACTCTAGTGTGTGGATGCATTTTTAGTTATAAAGAAATTTTAGTTCTGATCAATTGGTACTGCTTGATAAATAACCCATCGTGTATATTAAAATATACAGGTAAGCCACAAGATCAACAAATTAGCTTTTGGAGATTACTTCCCCGGTATCGTGAATCCTCTGGATGGGTAATCCTTATTTCTTCAGTTGCATCATACTTTAGTATACTGCAATTGCATTTTCAGTACTCACCTTGGCTATATTGACCATGTGTTGTGTGATGATTTATGAATTCCAGAGTCCAATGGAACCAAGAATCACCAAGTGGAATGTATCAATACTTTTTAAAGGTTCGTTCCACATGAATGTCTTTTGTTTCTCATTTTCATCCCATGCTCTTTTCTGCTCCGGCTCGAGCTTCTGAACAAGTTTCTCTTAATTGCAGTTACACTACTTTTTATATAGATTTTTCAACTTACCCTAATGAACTCAGATTCTGCCTTTATCAAAGACTTTGAAGAAAATGGAATACCTGCAAAAGGAGAAAATGGTTAAAATTCTTGGATTGGATATATTAGATATGTGTTCCATGTCAAAAACTGGATCAATAATTCCATGTAATATAGGTTGCACTGAATGGGTTCCATGTTAGGACATTTTTAGTTCGTTAGGAATTTTACAAAATTGCTCTTTGCAGGTGGTACCTACTGTGTACACAGATGTCCGAGGGCACACTATCCAGTCAAATCAGGTACAATTAGAGCTTAAACTGTTTTAATTATTTTTTTTTCATGTATTTTATTTACTAAGAATTACTGATTTGTAAACATTTGCTTTTTGCAGTTTTCTGTAACAGAGCACTTCAGGAATGCAGAAATAGGTCATCTGCAGTCCCTCCCAGGAGTCTTTTTCTTCTACGATCTTTCTCCAATCAAGGTTGATATTGCCCTCTATGTTCAGCATTAAGCAAGTATATCTGACTTTAATATGTTGATGTTTTTTACTTTCCTTTTTTTATTCACCAACATGTTGATGCTTTGGCAATACTGGATGGCTATTGGCTAGAATTTTCCAGCATGATGTTGGGATGTATTTTCACCTTTACATTTTCTCTGACTGATTTTAACTGTTTATTTCAGGTGACTGTCACAGAGGATCACATCTCATTCATGCACTTCCTAACAAGTGTCTGTGCCATAGTTGGAGGTAAACAAACTTTCTCTCACCAGTAATTCTTGCTCATATTTTAAAGTAGAAGGACAAAGATGAATACAACAATTATTTTAATCATTTATAAGTTGCATTATTTTGGGACAGCTGCATCTATTTTGTTATTTTTCCTGTTGCTCTGTTAACAACTAAAGATGTTTTTGTCATCTGTGAGCTGATTAAACCTTTTTGGGGGTTATGTTTCCACCATTCTTTTTAATTAAAACATTTCATCTGGTTTTCTTCTTGGCCTGTAACATTTTTCGCCCATTTTCAAAGCACTTCGGTTCTCCATTTTTCCTGAGTCAATGATGTCTTTTAAGTATTTAGTCTGTTCACTAATTCAAGTTGCTTTTGCATTGTAGACTTGAAAAAGGGTCATCACAAGTTACCAGCTACCTAGCTTGATGATTCTTTATATTTTTCAATTCTTAATTTACTCATAAACTGTTAATTAATTTGATAATCAACTTAGATATACATAGTTAACATGTTTGGTTTGCTGTTTGTAGGAGTTTTCACCGTATCAGGAATATTGGATGCTTTTATATACCATGGTCAAAAGGCAATCAAGAAGAAGATTGAACTTGGTAAATTTAGTTGATAATGATCCAGCCAGTACTTGTTGGTGATGCTTGTTCTTCAGTTAAGTGTTGCTTTGGGAATTCAAATCAAGTAGAAGCACCATGGCATGACTCTTATCTGTTGGGCTGTGAGCTTATAATCACTGTTGAGGGATTTTGTGGACATATTGTTCTATCTTCTGTGGTTTGCCTCAAGACTCTGATTTCATGGTAAACTTTGTGCCTGAAACCTGCCTTCTTAAACATTGCCAGAAAATCAAATTGAAATCCACCATCTGTAATGGTAGCGTTTGACCTCAATACAAGTTTGGAGAGACAAAGGGTAGCAATTCACATTTTGTTGACAAAAGCAAAGAAACTTTGTTTTCTGTTGCAATGAAAATTTGTTTCTGAGTGATAAGGATAGAATGTTGGCTTGATTTGTCTCAAGATATTTTTCTCTATGAATTTTCATCTTGATCTAATGAAATTTTGTTTTTACCAAACCAAAGGAGAAGTAACAGGTAAACAGTGATTGTTCTTGGTTCATTGCAATCATAATTTCAAATGCTAAAGTTGCTCTTTTTTCACTGTCACTAACAACAAAATGGTGAAAAGGAATCCTCCTTGTGGAATCTTGGAGGGACCATTGAAAGGGAAATTAGTAGTTAGCAATGAAGGTTTTTTTCAATTGGATATGATGATGGACCCTAAAGGAGCAAGATGCTAAACCCCAAAAAATCTTCCCCTTGGTGTGTTTAACCACTTTTTCCCATTCACGCATCTTTTTGTTCCTTGAATATTTCTTTTTGAAGAAAATGAGGGTAAAGAAAGGGAAGCTGTGGTAAAAGCAATATTAAAAGAGAATAAAAGCCTTATATGAAATCAATAGACTTTGATTTACATATGAAAAGATTGGTGCAAATAAGTCTCTTTCTTATTCTTTTCACACCATGGGATAAAGGAATAAGAACAAAGAAAGATAAGGGGAGAATTGATGTGGGATAAGATGGGATATGTCTCCAATTATATTTACTTTTCAAAGATCAAATGTGTTAAAAACATTAGAGTTGATAAAGTCGTTTGTAATTATATTTGGTTCTTTCTTCTTAGACTGAATCTCATCTTTATTGAGGGAAATGGAAGGGAAAGTTGGAAAGGAAATTTAAAGAGTTACAATAGTTGAGTTGATAATTCTTTATCTAGTAGTATTATCCAAATGGTAAAATTAATGATTACATAGTAATTTATATAAGATTTACACATATATAAATAGATTTTATGTTAATTAAAAGGGAGGGTGAACAAATTCTTGATTTCCATCCCCTTTTCTTTTGATTTAAAGATAAAATTGAAGCTATATAAGTGTTCATCCAGAAACGGGTTTCAATGGTTATAATAAAAGAAAATGGCTTATTTCAATGGTTAAAGGACAAATTTGAGAAATAAAATTTCACTTAGTTACACAAGTTGTTTAATATTGAGAGAAGTAAAACATGAGTGTTGTTTTTCTAAAATCTTTTTTTTCTTTTATCTAAACTATACTTTTAATGTACTTTGAAATTATTGAATTATTATTAATAAGGAGTTAGTGCTTATCCGCCTTACTTCCAAAAAATTAGGAAGAAAAATGACAAAAATCACCTTAATGCATGCTTTAAAAATAAAGTAGTTTAGTCTTTCTCAGTAAAATTTTATTAAAACGATGTAATTTTGAGATGATTTTTCTCCTAATCTTTAGAAGGTAAGGTTGATAGGTACTTTTCCTTATTAATAAATGAATATTAAAAATTTTATTTAAAATATTTTAATAATTTTAATATCGAATTAACATTTTTAATCTATGATTAAACCTAAAAAAATACCCTTTTTAATTTTTCAATGCTAGTGCTAGTAAAATTGTAAAAATGTCGGTAATAGAATCAAAGATCACGCGTGCGCTCTTTGTCATTATAAAAGGCTTCACTTTGTAGGACAACATTTTGAAAATTTGCAGACTCTGGCACAGATCCATTGAACAAATTTAGGATGGATTTTGGCTTAAGGTATGGATTCCAAAGCAACGGTGCGTGATAGATTCGCAACAACCCAATTGCTTTTTAATTATCAAAGGTTCTTTTTTTATTGGGAAGAACTAAGAAGATAAAAAGAATGGTCTGTTCCCATCCAGTGACATTGAACCTAGGTTATAGTTGTTCATTTTTGGTGGGTTATACGTTTGAATCTCACGGAATCTTTTTTTTCTCTCTCCTAATTAACCCTGTAAATAGTTATAAATTATTCAAAAAAAAAAAAAAAAACTAAGAAGATAAGAAACTTTCCCGGTAAACAAACAAGAAAAACTATCAAAAATGAAAATGCGTGATAAATTAGGGTTAACGCGTTTTGATTAGTTAATACTTATAATAAAATTCCAAGCAACGGTAATGGCCTCCCTTAT